CCTTTCCCCCACCAGAGGATCCAAACTGTAGGTGGTATCCCAACACCAGCATTGCCATCATGCCCCCGTGCCTCCATCTACTCCCAAATGACACGCAGATGTTACAACCCAGAACAGGTGTCTGTCTGCCAAATAAATGGAAAAACCCACTGGACAGAGACAATAATGCAGACAAATGAAATCACAGACCAACTTTGCCCTAAAAAATCAGGCTCTTTCTGTTGGCAGTATGACCCAGGTTACAGAGTTAAATCCCCCTTAGACCCTCATCTGTACCAGGTTCTCAATGCAACTCATCACCTTCTTAATGACACCAAACCCCAGCTGGCCAGGGATTGCTGGCTTTGCTTGTTGTTAGGAGCTCCACCGGAGAAGACACTGGCAATCCATTCCAGTAACCTTGCCTGGAAAACCCCATGGACGGAGAAGCCTGGTAGGCTGCAGTCTATGGGGTTGCTGAGAGTCAGATACGACTGAGCGACTTCACTTTCACTTTTCACTTTCATGCATTGGAGAAGGAAATGGCAACCCACTCCAGTGTTCTTGCCTGGAGAATCCCAGGGACAGCAGAACCTGGTGGGCTGCCATCTATGGGGTCACACATAGTCGGACACGACTGAAGCGACTTAGCATCAGCAGCTGCAGCAGGAGCTCCACAGTACTTAGCTACACCAGTACCATTGAATAATGCAACAGCCATGGGAACTCCTATAGATCCATCCTTACAAGGGCCAATCTTAAGGACAATTGAGATAACTCAAAAGGCTCCAGAATGCTTTACAAATGATGGAAGAACTGAACCTGTAGGCAATTTAACCAGGGACGAATAAAATCAAACTTTAAAAAGTGAGTGGCCCACTCATCCTCCCACAAGCACAACATGGTGCTGCCCCCATCAAGGCCTTTTTTTGTTTGTTTATCTGTGAGGCAGATGCTTATTTATGTCTACCAGTCAATTGGATGGATATCTGCATCTTAACTTTCCTCACTCCCCAGATGAATATTGTCTCTAACAACCAGACTCTCACCGTACCTCTGACCACATATGTGGTCAAAAAGAGTCATTCAGTTTTTACCCCTACTAGTTGGTCTTGGAATTATAGCTGGGATAGTTATGGGAATAGGAGGAATTGCTTCATCAACCACCTTCTACCATACACTATCCAAGGACTTCACAGACGACATTAAGAAAGTAGCCAAATCTTTAGTGGCCTTACAGGACCAACTAAATTCCCTGGCTGAGGTGGTTTTACAGAATAGGAGAGGGCTAGACCTACTGACAGCTGAAAAGGGAGGACTCTGCCTCTTCTTAAATGAAAAATGCTGCTTTTATGTAAACCAGTCAGGAATAGTCAGGGACATGGCCCGACAGCTAAGGGAACAAATCATGAAAAGGAGAGAGGAATTAACAAATTCCTTGGGTAACTGGAACAATATCTGGAGCTGGGCATCATGGTTTGTCCTTTTAACCGGTCCTCTCTTCATGTTCTTTGCAGCGCTCTTGTTTGGCCCTTGTAGTCTCAATGCTATGACCCAGTTGATAACCTGTCAAATTGAATCCATAAAGTTGCAGATGGTAGTAGCTCAATATAGCCCCTAATTGATGGGGCGCTCTGAATGTCCTATCAAAACATGAGATAAAGTTTTCTACAATGAGTGATAGAAGCATCAAGAGGGGGTAATGAAGAGGAAGAGTTAAAATTTTACATAACCTCCTGCCCCTTCTGCCTCTTTAGCTCAGCTTGCTCCTTGCAAAGTCTGGATCACGTAGGTCACATAGTCTCAGAAAGTGAGGACTCATAGTACTAGGAACTGGAGCTTATCTCACTCACCCTTGTCCTGCTCTTTGCAATCGTCCAGCCCCTGCAAACCTGCAAATCCACTTAACCATGCCTGTCTGTGTATAAAAACTCTGTAACCTCTTTGTTCAGGGCTCAGACCTTGGAGTGTTAACCCCTCTGGGTCAGCCAGTGTAATAAACCTGAGCTCTCTGTTTCACCCTAGATATACCAATTAGAGTGTGGTGCTTTGTTCTTGAGTACTGGTTTCTGCAATGACACGAAACTAACAAACACTTCATAATTATACATTTCTAGGACAAGCTACATGGGCGACCAAAATTAGCCAAGAAAGCTGTCCTGAGCCTTTAGAAGGCTTTATTTTGCCTATATTAAAAGGTAATTTAAGAAATGAGTTACAATGACATATCTACAAATATTAAAATAGTATGGTACTTATATCAAAATAGACATATAGATCAATGGAACAGAATAGAAAGCCCAGAGTAAATCCATGCATTTACAGTAAACTGATCTTTAATAAGGGCACCAAGAACACATAATAGGGAAATGGTAATCTCTTCAATAAACGATGCTGAGAAAACTGACTACCCCATGCAGAAGAATGAAACTGGACCCACACCATACACAAAAATCAACTCAAAATTGATTAAAGACTTAAGAATAACACCTGAAACAGTAAATGACTAGAAGAAAATGTAGCAGAAAATATCATTGATATTAGCCTTGGCAATGATTTTTAAAATATGACACCAAAACCACATGCAGCAAAAGTGAAAAGAGAAGTGGGTGTGAAATAAAACTTCTCCTGTCATATCAATAAACAAGAAATGTCACAGCTATTAGTGACTTCAGGCCTCCAAATGTGAATGAGGGCTCCCAAAATGTGGGAGGGCGGAGGGGGAGGAATGTAAGAAGCAGCCATCTGCCACGTCTACCACTCCTTAAGGTGAACAAGGAATTAAGGATGTAAACAATCAGGAAACAGGATTTGGCCCCAGATAGCTGAGGTACATATGAAAGGAATGAATTCAATTTGTCCAGAGGCTTACATCTTCCCATATACAGAAGAATGCTAAATTCTTTTACTTGGTATCTGATTTTCCTTACCTCAAAATAATCTTTGACATTCAAACTCCCTGTCTCCTTTGTTGCAAACTAGTATGGCTAGTTAGCCTGACTCCCCCACCTGCCTCATAGCAATTTTCTCAGGGCTATTGAGATGTTGCCTGCCAGGCTCAGAGTCCTTAACATTCCACCAAATAAAATAACTCTCTACTTTCAGACTGTGACTAACTTTTTAGTGACAGTTTTGGCGACCAACATGAAGGGACCCAGAAAGGATTTCTTTCCTCTTCCTGAATTCTATGAGAAACTGGAGCCTCAGTACCAGCAGAGGCCCCTTGTGCCCATCTGCTTCCTCAAAAGTTCAGGAAGAATTTGAGTAAGTCTCTCCTGGTTCTCCAATCTCCCATATTGGTTGAGATCCTGAATTTTTATTTGGTGTGGGTGTAGCAGGTAGCCACCCCCTCTGTTGAAGGGTACTGGGGGGGGGGTTGCTGGTTGAAAGACATTGGGACATACCCATCGGGGTCTAGATACAGGGTGGGGCTCAGTGGAAAGATACAAAGGAAATATTGGTCCAGTTGAAAGACACTTGTGGGGGGAGGTGGGCTGGTTAAAAGTTACCAGGGAAATACCCACCCAGTGGAAGGCAGTGGGGAGTGGCTTGATTGAAAGACACCAAGGTGACTCCATTATAGAAAGACATACAGATCTCATACTTGCAAATATCTAGTTAATTGGAGAAATTAAATCTCACCCTAAATATTGAGAGGGCTCTTTAATGTGTACACAGTTAAAAATTAAAAACTGGTCTGGTAAAATCTTGAACAAGTCCTTCTAGGGAGAAGCTCTGATTTTTCTGTGTCTTTGAGATGTAAATGTTGTATCTGATTTTCTTAGGTTGTTCTATTGTGTTTGTTTGCTTGTGTTAGGCCTATAAGAGGTCTTTTTGCATCTTAATGGTTTAGATATCTCTGCTGAGATCATTTATTGGCAGTCATGAAATGGAGCAGGATCATATGGCCCCTCCCCCACCCCCACCCCCGAACTATGTTCTCTGCCTGTCTTTTGCCTGTGGAAAACTTTAGTCAAAGAATAAGTTTAATCAGAGAAGTGAGAAATATGGAAACAAAGGAAAACAGTTAAAGGAGACTAAATAATAATAATGTAGTCATTAAGCCTAGTCAAGGACATTTAGTTCTTTCTCAAGGGCTGTAGATAATATTCTGAACCATATCCTGTGAACTGTTTTATAGATACTAAAGCACCAGGTGAAGAAGTTAACTACATGATGATCAGACTGTACCCAGGACTTGAGCTGCCACAATTCTCATAAATGATGGCAAAGAAATGGGAACAATTGCACCTGGAACTGAAGATTAATTGTTCCTAAAACAACCAAAATCATGCTAGTCAGACCACTGATGACGAATTTGGAGATGACTGTTAGAGATGACTGTGCTGTTTCTGCATGTTGCCC